CCCTTGGCCCTCTGAGCAGCCGGGGGGCCTTGGCATGTCCAGAGTCCCTGGGCCCAGGCCTTCTGGCCATACAACATCACCTGTTTACTGCACCATGCCGCATAAGTACAGTTTTCTTTGTGTGCCATCATGTTAGGAAAAAAGTTAGAAAGGACCCCAAAAAGTGAGTGTTTATTGTGAAAGAAATTTACTCTTGAGCTATAGAGCACCTTCAAGCAGCTTAGGGTTTTGTAGCCAAACAGATGGAACTATGCAACAGCTTATTAATCAAAACAAATCACATCAAGCAAGATCTTGGTCTTCAATGGCTTATTTTCTTGTTTCTCATTAACTTGAGGTCTTCTAGGCACTCTTGCAGGGGTTTCTGGATTTCTGGTTGGTTGGTCATAGGTGGCCAACCAGTTATTATCATCTTAGATGCTCTTTTATCCAAGTAATGCTGGAAATAATCAGCCCTTAAACCAAACCCATTGCCATTGAGTCGATTCCAACTCATAACGGCCCTACAGGACAAAGTAGAACTGCCCCATAGGATTTCCAAGGAGTGGCTGGTGGATTCCAACTGCCAACCTTTTGGTTAGCAGCCAAGCTCTTAACCACTGAGCCACTAGGGCCCTGTAAATCCCTGAACAAAAAACTCTTCTCTGCACAGGGAATCAGGCACTGTAATAAAATTTTGACTCAAACTAAGGTACATTCTGTTTAAAAAGCTTTTTTCTGTATTTCCTTAACCTTTAAGAAAAGGAAAAAATTATAATCCACAAGGCAAAGCTTCTATTCAAGAATAATGTATATTTTAGTGAAAGATGTTCTGAATACCTGAAAGATGAATGTGACAATAAAGTTAATAAAGACAACTCTGAACGGCAAAAAATAAAGGTCACTGCAGGTAGATGTAAAACACCTGAAGTGTGTTGAGGATAAGGAACCAGCCATCCTGGAGCAGAAGGCCTGGTGCCACCAGAGAGAAGTGTCTTCCCTAAGCAGGGACCTGATGGGTGAGCACTTCAAAATTATTTCCCTGAGCATTTTGCAAGCTCATCTTAGCTCATCTTCGTAACAATATGAGAAAGAAATGGCAGGTATTAATTGGTGCAAATGGTTAAGCTCTTGGCTACTAACCAAAATACTAGTGGTTCGAATCCGCCCCGAGGTGCCTCAGAAGGCAGGCTTGGCGATCTGCTTCCAAAAGGTCACAGCCTTGAAAACTCTATGGAGCACAGTTCTACTCTGCACACTTGGAGGCGCCATGAGTCGGAGTCGACTGGGTGGCAACTGTTTTTGTTTTTTTTAATGATCTGTCTATCTGTCCTCATTTTATAGGTTGAGTTTGCAAGATCAGCTCTACAGGGTCTGTGTATTTCTTTCTGGGAGCCCTGCCTGCAATGGAGAAAACTGCAATGAGATGGCATAACTTGCAAAACACTAGGCAAAAGTTAGTGACTCTGGTTCCCAGCCAGTTGTTTTCTTTTTCCCCACCATAGCACTGGTGTATCCTATTTCTAGCACATTTGATATATGTGTTCATGATATTCTAGATATTGGCTTTATCTATTATAAAATTGTCCTGAGAGTTTGTCCCAGGGGCAGGTGGTAAATTGTTATCACCTTAGCTTTAAGTATTTTCACAGCCTTGGGAAGTTTGTTCCTTTATTTCCAATCTTCTTTGTGGCATCTGTTCCAACCTTTTATCCTCAGCTCTTGACTTGGCACATCTGGAGGGGCTGCTGTCCTCCCTGGATGGTGTGCAGCTGGCCCCCTGGCATTACCTGTGGGAGACACGGAACCAACACGGTGTCCGACCATATTCGGTGCCACCTCCCCAAGTTACCCCAAACAAGAGTAAAAACATTTTCAATGGAAAGAGAGATGATTTTTTGGTTTTGCTTTTTTGTGGCTGGGACTGTAGGAATGCACTGTAATCTGTGGTCCTGTCCCACTTTCCTGGGCTCTGAGCAGGCAGCAGAACCTGGGTGCTAACGTGAACAGGCAAGGAGTGGAAGGTGAACCACTGGCCTTCTGCAGCCAGCTCTAAGCTTTCCCGTGAGGGTGGGTTCATCCACACCTAGCAGCCATCACCCACGAACCCTCTGTCAGCAAGACCAGCTGTCCCTGCTGTGTCACTGTGGCTGACTCCTCAGGGAAAAAACCTGGGGTATCCTAACAACCAACAACTTTCTTTTTTGTATTTCCGAAGGTTCCAGGTAGATGTTGTCTTGGTTCATTAAACTGAAGCACCCTCTTTGTATTTATGAAAGATAACCCAGGTTAGTAAATGGCATTGCTCATGGCCTCCAAAGTCCAGGACAAGCCTTGGGATAAAAGGAAAGCTCCTCTCTCGTACCAGAAATGTCTGTGCTGTACAGTACAGAGCCGTACTGGGGTGGAAAGTGCAGCAGATGGGACCTGGGTTCAATTCCCGGCTTTGCCATAATTAATGAGCTATGTGACTTGGATGAGTTGCTTGATTTCTCTGGACAAGGGAAGTGGACTGTGATTTTGAAGCTCCCACCCAGGACTGAGTCTGTGAGGCTCAGGTTGGAACATTGCTCTGCCCAGGATGTGGCTGGACTAACTGACTCTTGGTATATGAGAAGGAGAGCAATGGGCAGACAGAGGTGCCCTTGTGTACCTGTAGAAATGTACCAGGGATTGGCTTTACGGGGAATCCCAGCTTTGTCAGGTGATGCGATGATACTCCCCTCAGTGCTGGTCCCCCTGCATGGGCCCTGCCTGCAGAGGTGGCCCAGGGTCAAGGGGGACTTTCTTAGCCTGGGGAGTTATCGCTAAATGCTGACCCATGGGCAGGACACTGAAATGAGAGCTTCTTCCCATCCTGGACCTAGAGGGAAGGCACTTGGTCATATGTTTTGCCTTCCATCTGAGAGTGCTCATAGCTGTCCCACCCAGTCGCTAGAGCAGGACATCATGTTTGGTAAAGCCGAGGGTCAGCGAAAACAAGGAAAACCCTCAATGCAATGGATTGACACAATAACCTCAACAATGGGATCAAACATATCAAAGACCATGGAGATGGAACAGGACTGGGCAACATTCACCACCAGGAGTTGGAGCCCACTCAACAGAAACTAATAGCAACAGAGGGTCCCACAGACACTGGCTATTGGCCCTTCTGTATTCCAAGCTTTGCTGAAGTAGCTTTTACACGAGTGGTTTCTACTAGACCAGTGCTTTCAAGCTTTAATATGCACACAGATTAGCTGGGAATCTTGCTAAAAAGCAGATTCTAAATTGGTGAGTCTAGGGTGGGGTCTGCAAGTCTGCATTTCTCTCAAGCCCCCTGGCACTGTCCCTGAAGCTGGTTCATGAACCAGACTCTGAATAGCAAAGGTGCAGAGGAAAGAACTGCTGGGCTGAGAGTCACATGGCTCCGCTGTTTGTGGGATGCCAAGGAAATCATTCCACTCTTCCATTTCCATCTTTTGGAGATAGCATTGCCCACCCTGTTAGTTTGAAGGTACTATTGAAAGGGCTGCATGAGTTAGCTTTGAAAGCATGCAAATGTGATGCACTAATAGTGTGAATGTTTTCTGCTATTCCAGACGGCCGCTGGATCATCCTACTCTAGTGTGCACTGGAACCCAAGCAGAGCTGTTCCAACTGCATACTCCAGGGATCAGCAAATCCTCCCATTCAGTAGACCTGGGGTGGGGCTCGGTACTTGGATTTTAACCAGCCATCAAGGTGGTCTGGTGCTGTTGTTTCTCAAACCACAGGCCACACTTTGAGAGATCCTGTCCCAAGAAGTAAGAGTGTCCTGCTCTCCCCATGGTGTGGACATTTAAAATTATAGGACACAGCAGAGGACTACCTGTAGCTGATCACAGATTCAGGACTCTTAGCTCTCCATAGATGGGTGCTTCTCAAACTTTAGTGAGGAATCTTGTTGAAATGCAGATAAATTGAGTGAGTCTGGGGCCGGGCCTGAGATTCTGCATTTCAAACAAGCTCCCAGGTGATACAGATGTCACTGGTCGGGACCACACTTTGAGCAGAAAAACCTAGATCAGTGGTTCTCAACCCAAGCTGCACCTTAGGGCCATCTTTTAAATATCATGGGTATTAAAATTTTTATTTTTTAAATTGTTCTGGGACGGAGATCAGGCAGTTTTTAAAGCTCCTGGGTGATTCTAATATGCAACCAGCATTGAGCCCTTCCCCCCGACCCCCCAGCAAGTGGAGGTCAAGGCACCAGCTGAACAACAGCAGTGGGCAGTGAGCCGAGGGTCCGTTCACTCACGAGACAGGTCCAAGGTCGAGTTAGGTGGTATCTTCGTTTCTTAGTGCTGCTATAACAGAAATATAACAATGGGATGACTTTAACAAACAGAAATTTATTTTCTCACAGTTTAGGAGGCTAGAAGTCTAAATTCAGAGTACTAGCTCTAAGGGAAGGCTCTCTGTATCTGCCCTGGGGGAAAATCCTTGCCTCAGCTTCCCTGCCCTGGTGTTCTTCAGTTTTTGGAGATCTCCACATGGCATCTATCTTCCCCTTTGTGCTTGCATGTCTCTGTGCCTAATCTGCTTTTTTAATGTCTCAAAAGTGATTAGGTTTAGGACACACTCTACACTGATATGGCTTCATTAACATAACAGATAAAACCCTGTTCCCGAATGGGATTACATCCACAGGCATAGGGGTTAGGATTCGTACTCTATTTTTGGGAGACACTATTCAATCCATAATGGGTGGGTCTTACAGTAGTTCCTGGCTGGTGAAATAAAGCAGGATGGCTTGCCCATCTCTTGGCACTGATATAATATGGGTCACTGTGGGAAAAGGAAGTGGAAGATTTCACAGAGGAGTGGAGAAGCTCAATGTTTGATCCAAACGCTGATGTATTTACTGACCCAGCTTTAGACCTCACTGGGCTTTCCTTTCCAGCTTCCGCGTGTGGCTGTTTCTGTACTCTCTGCCTGGCTCTCTCTGGGTGGGGACTATTGTGGGCCACTGACCTGTCTCATTTTGCCCTGGCTAGGTGGCAGTGGGGAGAAGCCACCAACGGCGGGGGTCCCAAAGGCCAACGAGGGCTCGGAGGCCGTGCTTCCCAAACGCAGAAGTGTGTTCCACATCGAGTGGTCGTCCATTCGGAGGAGGAGCAAAGGTGTGCGCTTCCTCCCCTCCTGCCTCGATATCCTCGTCTCTAAAATGGGCACAATGGCAGTAGCATGGGGTAGGGCTCATTCTAACTTCTGAGCACTGACCACAGCCAGCTTTTGAGTTATCTGGACTTCCCCTGGGTGGGGGAGAGTGGGGCTGGAACAGGCGGTGAGCTTCTGTCGGTCTAGACCAGGGGTTCTCAAACTGAGCTGTGCATTGGAATCACCCACATCCCATCCCCGGAGACTCTAATTTAATTGATCTCAGAGCAGCCTGGGTGGGCATCGGATTTTAAAATCTCTCCATGAGATTCTAATTGGCAGCCAAGTCGAAAACCACTGGTCTAAGAGGCTAGAGACGAAAGGTTCTCACCTACAGCAGAGATGGGGAGCCACGGTGGGAGGGGGTTAGGAGGGCAGCTAAGGCTGAGCAAGTGCGGAAGCCAGAAACTTGGGCTTGGAAGCTGAGAACATGTGCTAGCAAACAGAGAGGAGTCGGTGAACAGCCCCCTAATCAGCTGCAGCGGTTGAGCAGCCCCATGAAGAGCCAGGGCAGAGGGACTATGGAGTCCCAACCCCCACCCCCAGCTAGGGCAGCAGACATGCCCAGAGTCACCCATCTGGCTGGGGAGCTGTGGGAGATAAGACTGATTGCAGACTTAGTGCCCTTTTGACTATACCATATGTCTCCCAGATGATGCATCTAGTGACTCTCTTCTTCTAGTTTATCTAAACCCCATCATTTCATACGAAAAATCAGTCAGCCCATGACTGAACTTGGAGTGGTTTATGGGAACATCGTACAAGGTGGGGAGAGCATTACACATGCCTCCAGGGTCCCTCTGGTCCAGGAATTTGGTTTTGCCAGGGCTCCGAGTATGCGATACAAGAGATCACGTTTGCCTCAAAAGATTAGCAACCCCCATCCAAACATCCTCTCAAGATAGTGGCTGGGGCTGGGTGGGGAGGACTTCTAAGAGAGCACTCTGCAAAGGAGGCTGGGAGTTGGAAGCTGGTGGGAGTTGCTGCAACACTGGCCAGCACAGGGGAGCCTCAGACAGAAGCAGCAGGTGGATAGAGTCACGCACACTAGTGTGAGTTCAAAGGAAAACTCTCTGCTTCCTCTACCTCTTCAAAGCTTCCAAAATCGGATTGTTTCTCCAGCATGCTGTAAATTCCCAATCACACTGCTATTTGCACTTGCTAGTTCTTCAAAAGGGGGAACACAGCACCTTTGATATGTCCCTTCAGATACCCGCAAGGACTCATGAAACCCAAAGGCAACACCCATTTCAGTCTGAAAATACAAGGCGTTCGGAGCCCAGCCTGCCATTCTCACAGTTGACCACTGGAGGGAACCAGAGCATCAAGACTGAAATTCCAAAGGCCTTAACTGCTTTTGCTGTTGAGTGCCTTTGAGTCGATATAAATTATCCAGTAATAATGAAAAATATGCTTAAAGCCACATTACAAGAGTTTTCTAGAGTTAAAAGGGCTTGCCAAAATCTCTTTCAAGTGGCTACAGGTATATCACTTGTCCTAATTTAAAGCAGCCAGCAGCAGCTGCTAAAATACCTAAAATCCAGGCATACACTCTAAAAAACAAAACAAAAGACCAAAATAGCCCCCATTTATCCAGCTGGGGAGATTCATGGCCAAATTCAGATCTTGCATTACCCAGGCAGCGTATTACTCTAGGAGCAGGAAGTCAAGGACTCCAGCAAAGCCCGGCTTCTCTTTGTACACCTGCAAGTTCTCTGTGGGTACAGGAGAAAGAGCCCTGGATCAGGGATCATGGGCAACCCACTGATACCCTGGGCTGCTGTTTCCTCATCTAAAAAATTTAGGGGTTGAGCTAAATCAGGGCTTCTCAACTGAAGGTTGGTGAACCCCCCTAATTCCTATAAAACGTCCTGTTTATATGAAAGGCCCCAAAGGGGTCTAGGACCAATAAAAAAAAGGGGGGCCTTCCAGCTTCAAGACTCCATGGTTCTGTGCTTCCTCAAGAGGAATAGGAAACACTAAATATTCCAACTCAAGCCTTGTAAGAAATTAGCTGCTGGTGAGGGGGGCGGTGCAGGGTAAATGTATCCTAATTGATGTGCTTTCTTTCTGACTCCGGTGTTTGGAAAAGGTGACCACCAGGAGAGAGCAACCAAAGACTCACTTCCCTATCAATACCGGAAGCCCACCCTGGAGCTGCTTGTGAGTACCGAGCGGCCCAAATCAGGGGCAACGCGGTGATGTCAGAGCCTGCAGCAGAGGAAGGAGTTGACGCCCAAAAAAGACGTTCTCTGCTTTAGGCAAATCTTTCTTGAATTTATATTTTCAGAAAAGTAGTTACCTGGAATAAATATGTCTTTTTCACAGTTTACTTTTACTTTGTCACAGTCCTTTTATTTAAATTATTTATCATCAGTTTTTCTCTAAATGCAGAATTCTAGGATTTAAAAGATAAACTTGTGCCAATTTTCAAAAACAGAATCTTGACGTGCAATTTCATACCTGTATGCTTACGGACAGTTAAATGTTAAGGACTAGATATGCTGGTGGTGAGAGGAGATACCACACTCTGGAAGAAGTGTGGTATAGAAAAAGTAATGATTTTTTAAAAAGAATCTAAAGATCTGTGGTTAAATCTCAATTCTACCATTTGACCTTTGCAGATGAGAACCTCCCCATGTCCGAGTCCTCATCCACAGCATTATGATAAAGATGTCATCTAGTTGTACCGTATGGTAGTTGGTTGTCCATGTTAAAAGAGGTAACATGTCAAAAAAAAGACATCCTAATCTATAGAAAAGGAGTCCTGGTGGCGCAGTAGTTAAGCACTCAGCTGCTAATGGAAAGGCTGGTGGCTTGAACCCACCAGACGCTCTGTGGGAGAAAGATGTAGCAGTCTGCTTCTGTAAAGATTACAGCCTTAGAAACTCTATGGAGGCAGTTCTACTCTGTCCTATAGGGTTGCTATGAGTCGGAATGGACTCAATGGTTGTGGGTTAATCTATAGAAACAGGAAGCTGATTAAATAGCAATTCCCAATATCAAATGAAGCTCTTAGCTGGGTCCCTGAGGGACCACGCACATCTGCTCCTCAGCGTTAAGAGCACAGAATGTGAGCACTTCTCGCCCATCTTTTTTCCCTGCACAGGAGCTGGACACCATGGAGGAGAGCTCCGAGATCAAGGTAGAAACAAATATTTCTAAGATGTCCTGGATTCAGAGCTCCATGGCTGCCGGTGGGAAAATGGTCAGCAGAGCCCTCAGTTACATCACAGGAGAGATGAAGGAGTGTGGAGAGAGCCTTAAAGGTAAAGGTTCTGTGAGAGAAGCCCAAACCCCACCCTAAGAAGGTCACCTCCAGTCGTCCCCCAGAAATTTGTTGCCACAGTTCCCACCAGACCAGCCTGAGTTCCATTTCCATGGTCTTTCAAGAGAAGATAGGAGTTTTGCTTTTGTAGCAGACATACCGTCTCTTGGGATGTAAACACCAATACGTTTAAGCGTGTTAGCTCTCATTTCTAAACACAAGAGCTACGCTCTGTCAAATATACCAGCAAAGGGTTGCAGATATGAATGCTTTAGCACTGGGATTCTAAAGCCAGCACGCTAGAAAAACACTCTCTGAATGGCTCACAGAACCGTGTCTATTATTCCAGTAGGTTCCCTTTAGCAATCTCCCCAGAGCTCAGGCCACGGATTTGATACATCTTCACGCAGCAGGAGAGTTTTCTCCCAGAAATGAGCCTTCTTAAAAATCCATGTCACTATCATGGGGGGGATGGGGGGCACATTTAGGTCCAGGTGCCCCATCTCCACTGCTTGGAAACCTGCCTTAAGACCACGCCCAGCTGGCAATGGGTGCAGAATCAGATGCCCTCTCTGGTTCTTTTTGAACCCCTTCTGTGGTGGTTGACTACAGGTAGCTGGCCCTCTGCTGACCCTCTTTGGATGTTGAGAGTCCCTCCCTCCCACTACCACCACCCAGGCCTCTCCCAGAGCTGTCACAAATGCAGGGCACCCTGAGCATTGCTGACGTCCTGCCCCGGTGCATTTCAGACGAATCCCCCGCGTTCCAGTTTCTCGACTGGGTCCTCCGGGGCACGTCCCAGGTGATGTTTGTCAACAACCCCCTCAGTGGCATCCTCATCGTTCTCAGCCTCTTTGTCCAGAACCCGTGGTGGGCTATCTCAGGCTGCTTAGGAACCATTGTCTCCACGCTGACAGCCCTCATCCTGAGCCAGGACAAGTAAGTTCCCACAGCCATGGGGCCTGGAGACCTAGGGCCCACATGCAGGGCCAGAGAGCCCTCCCTGTGGAGACCACTCCCCACCTGCCCACCCCGCACTGCTGATTTCCCCTCCAAGTAAGAACACTGTAACTAAAGATGACTATTCCTTCTGGTTGTTCTTTTTTATTCTGGTTTTATATATATATATACATCTCAAAACATTTGCCATTTTAACCATTTTTAAGCATACAATTCAATGACATTAATTACATTCGCCATGTTGTGCAACCAGCACCACTGTCTATTTCCAAAAGTGTTCCACCACCCCAAACAGATACTCAGTACCCTTCAGCCGTAACTCCCCATTATCCCTCCTCCCAGCCCCTGGTAACCACTAATAAACTTTTGTCTCTATGCATGTGCCTATCCTAGATATTTCATAAAAGTGGGACAGACAATCCTTGTCCTTTTGTGTCTGACTTATTTCACTCAGCATAACGGCTCACGGAAGAACCATGTCTACTACTAGCTGACTGTGTTTTCATAACTACACATTGTCTAGGGAAATACCAGAGGGTGATGGCTGCTCTCCCCATTCCCAGAGGGGTGGTTGGTTTGAAGGTGTGGTCGGGCCCCATGAGAGAAAAATCTGAGTCAGTAGGACAGTTAACAAGGGAGTACCCTATAGTAGGCCATGCGGGAAGCCCCCTCACTAGCCCTTGCCCCTTTTCCCCCAGATCCGCCATTGCTGCAGGACTCCATGGGTACAACGGGGTGCTGGTGGGGCTGCTCATGGCTGTGTTCTCTGACAAAGGTGACTATTACTGGTGGCTTCTGCTCCCTGTCATCGTGATGTCCATGTCTTGGTAAGTCTCTGACTGAGGCTGTGGGCTCAGATTGAGGGCCGCCGCCCTTTTTATCCCAGGCCGTGACTATCTGTGCAAACTTGATTTGAAAGTCACATTTACTTAGCCTGCATATCAGAAACACCTCCTGAAGTGGCTAGCGTTGCACAGCTCCAGGCACCGGGCCAGGTGCTCCACGTACAGTATCTCATTACCTACCTTCCTTCACTTTTCTTTTTTTAAAGATATAAAAGGACCATTTCAGGACCCACCTTGCTAGAGGGTAGAGAAACTGAGGCCTATGTTGGTTAAGAGCCCCATGCCATGGAGTCCTATCAATGTCTGTAAATCTCATCCCTCCTCCTCCCTGTCCAGCTTTTCTTTTCCTTGGGACTCCTGATCAGACCAAGACAATCTCCCAGTGCAGGCTGAAGACAGGCAACTGGGCAGAGTCCCCAGAGCACCAGACACCAGTGCCTCCTCCCCTCCAGGAGGCACAGGGCACTCTGGCCAAAAGGCCCAGTGCACTCAGTGGCTCAACAAACATTTGTTGAATGAATGAATGTGATCCCCTTCCCTCCCCCAGCCTTTCCTCTCTCCTCACATCTGTGGGTGCAGCCATGTGACTCTGGGACTTCCTGTCTTATAACTTCCCCCAGGAAGCCTTCTTCTGAGTTGAAGTCTGGACACCCCACCTGTCACTGTGCCTGGCCCAGGGAGGAGGCCAAGGGGAGGCCCACTCAGACCAATCAGGCTTGGGGAGGGTGTCCCACAGGCTGCTTTTCTCCAGAAGACAGAGACAGCCCCACTCCTGCTCAGTTAGTCCTTGACTGCACCTCAAGTGTCAGGGCCAAGTGGCTTCTTGAGCAGCATTTCTTGTGCTTCTGCCATCAGCCCTGTCCTCTCCAGTGCCCTGGGCACCATCTTCAGCAAGTGGGACCTCCCGGTCTTCACACTGCCCTTCAACATCGCGGTGACCCTCTACCTGGCAGCCAAGGGCCACTACAACCTCTTCTTCCCCACAACACTGGTGGAGCCCGTGTCTTCAGTGCCCAACATCACCTGGTCAGAGGTCCAAGTGCCGCTGGTAGGTATCATAGAAGGTTGAAGGGCAGCATGTGTCCAAACTCGATTTAAAAGTGGCATTTGCTTATTGATCAGGTCAGAAACATCCACCAGTAGTTGTTGTTGTCAGTTGCCATGGAGTCGGCTCCAACTCATGGTGAGCCCACGTGCAACAGAACAAAACGTTGCCTGGTCTTGTATCCCCTTCACAGTTGCTCTGCTCGAGTCCATTGTTGCAGCCATTGTGTATTTTGAGTGCCTTCCAACCTGGGGGGCTCATCTGCTGGCACTACACCAGATAACATTCTGTTGTGATCCATAGGGTTTTCGTTGGCTAATTTTCAGAAGTAGATCAACATACCTTTCTTCCTGGTCTTAACCTGGAGGCTCTGCTGAAACCTGTCCACCATGGGTAGACCCTGCTGGTATTTGAAATTCCAGTGGTATAGCTTCCAGCATGAGAGCAACACGCAAGCCACCACAGTATGACAAACTGATGGATGAGTGGTAGCCACAAGTAATAGTTATTAATAATTGTACCGTGTGAGCCACTCTACATACAATAACTCATTAGATACCATCCTTTTCTCTTTTTAGAGCCAAAAGGGCCATCTCTGGTCCCACCCTGGTATAACACAGAGGAAGAAACTAAGGCCAGGTTTAAAAACCTGCCTAGAACCACACAGCTAATTAGAAGCAAAGTCAAAACTAGCATTCAGGCTTCCTGACTTCCAGACCTGGGTTTTTTCTTTTTCCTTTTTTTTAAGTCTCTTTGATGCATTCCTCCAGCATTAATGCAGCTTCTGCTGTGCATTTTCTTTCCTTCAATCACATTGAATAGTTAAAGATGGACACACCACGCTACCATCTATTAGCTTAAAAGGTCACTGTTCTCACCCCCAGAGTTTGTCCCAGCCACTCATGCAGGAGAGCTCACACTGAAAGCACAGGTGCTCCTCTGCTCAGAAGCATAGAACAGAATACTTCACGTTTTTCACAAGTGTTCTGTAGATGATGCGGACCTCTGGAAGTCAACCAGTATAATTAATAAGAACCTGCACGAAACAGTAAATCAGCACGGAGAAGCAGGTCCATTAGCTCCTTATCTAAATGGACTTGTGGTCTGAGGCCCCCTTTTTCCCGTACCCTAAAGGGCCCAAGCCTGGGGCTCACTCCGCAGCTTCCTGATTGGCAATCCGTCCTCTAACCATAGGCAGCTGGGGCTTGCTGAAGGAACTCTCAGAAATTATGTTGCACGGTCTTTCTTTCGCATTCCACAGCCGGCAGCAACACAGCAGAGCAGAACGAGGTCTGCATTTGCACTGAGGAGCATCATGATTTAGGAAGAGAAATACTGGCGTTAGGCCCATCCCTGTTGATTTGTGTGTGTGAGAACCTCACGGACCAGACCCAACAAAGAGCCTCTCAGAAGCAAAAAAAAACATGAAAAGGAATGTGTTGGCAATTCAGCTTCTAGGCTTGTCACCTACCGTGTTCACCCAATCGATATCCTTTGGAGGCAAGATTACTCACATTGATGCACTCTGGGGAGATGATGTTAGAACAGGCCAGTTAAAGATATGTTGCATGCTTCATGCCACATTTTCAATTAAAAAGATATTTGGGGATCTTGTACAAATGAAAACAATAATATTTGGGAATCCAGTAAAAACACTTTAGAACTCCAAAGTTCCAAGAGTAGTAGGAAAGAACATTTCATTTGGGGGTGTTTTTTCTTTGAGAAATGGCTTTTTGGCCAACTGAATGGATCATAGGCATGATTAGTATGTTTTTCTTTTTGACTATTGTAATTAGAGCCTCGAGTTTTGGGGAAACAAGCAGAGAATGTTAGGAAGAGGATCTAAAACCCCCGACAGTGTTGACTGCAGTGTTCCTGGGTGCCCCTTGCTCTTGTGTGTGGACAGCCCCCCCCCCTTCTGGAGAGCGCAACTTGCTGGGAACTGAGCGGTGGCGCAGCACTGCTGTCTCTCATAAACCTGCTCCTTTTTCCGCCTTGCCCTGCATGGCAGTGCCAGAGCCCCATCCTGTTCTCTGCCTTGGGCAAAGGGGAGACCGAGCCCAAAGGGTGAGCCCATCAGGCCAACCCAAGGGCTCCTGCCTCAGCACACTCTCCCCTCGTTGTGAGGCCCTTGAGCTACAGGATTCCCCTCCCCTGACACCCCAAGCAGCAGAGGCCTCACGGACGAGGTGACTCACATGAAAACACACACTCACCTCAGACTCTGCTTCTTCTCCACTTATGACCCAGGGGTGAGACAAACCCCAGTGAACCCCAACAGGGGCCAGAGCCACCTCCCTGAGTACTTGCCTAGCTGAAGGGCCTTTGGCCAAATCCCCCAAAACGCAGGACCCAGTTCCAGGTGTAGGAAAGCCGGTTCCCCTAGGATACACTAATCACATTCCTTTTCCCAAACCCCAAAGCACAGGTACAATGCCTACAAGTCCTGTCCCCTCACATACTTTTTCATCCAGCAAGCAGGCCCAGCTGGTCCCAGAACTACAAAGAGGCCTGGCTCAAGCAGTGTGCCAGTCACATCTGTCAGTCAAAAGAGCAGACATGGAACAATGCCTCCTTCTCAGGGGCTCTTCTGAGGATACCAGTCCCATTGCTCACAGTCTGGACTAATATACCCACACCCCAGACTCATTCTCAGAAACACAAAAGACCCTTTTCCATCAATATCTGGCCTCCTACTCATCTTTCAAAGGCCCCTGGGTGGTACAAACCATTTGCTCTCAACTGCTAACCTAAAGTTTGGCAGTTCGAACCCCCCCAGCAGCACCACAGAAGATAAGCCTGGACATCTGCTTCTGTAAAGATTACAGCCAAGAAAATCCTATGGAGGCAGTTCTATTCCGTAATACCTGGGGTCGCCACGAGTCAGAATCAACTCGACGGCAATGGGTTTGGTTTTTGTACTCCTCTTTTATAACTAGCTTTGAAAAAATAAAAGTTATAAGAGGGTTTTTAAGGCTTGACTTTAATCAGACATCTATTCCTTTTCTAATGAATGAGACCTTCATTTGAAAGGCTTTCAGTTTCTCTTCACTGAGCGCATGAGTGCCTTACGCTCCTGTTTCTAAATAAAGGAAACTTACCATCCTCACCCCTAAATGTTCTAAGGGCTCAAGAATAAGATAGTAAAGTCTGTGTTCCCTTTAAAGTTAACCTACTTGAATGAAAAATACCTTGGGAACCTATAGCAAAATGCTGATGTGGAGGCCTGGGTGCCGAATCTTCCTCAGCCATGGTGCAAGTCATCTCCCTTACCTTCGTGATAAGCATGCGATCGTGTCGCACCTACAGCTTTTGAGAGCCATCCCTGTTGGAATCGGCCAAGGGTATGGCTGCGATAACCCCTGGACTGGAGGCATTTTCCTCATCTCTTTGTTCATATCCTCACCTCTTGTTTGCTTGCACGCGGCAATTGGATCCGCCATGGGGATGCTAGCAGGTCAGTGTCATCCTCTCCCCCGTGGGTTAGCGCCTGGGGCCAGCTCCAGTGGTGACATGTGTCCTCAGTGACCCACTCACTCTCCTGCAAACTTTCCCTCCACCCCAGGGCAGGTCAACCAGTAGGCAAGGTACACATGGGCTTACATTAAGCAAGGTATGCACAGGCTTACTTGTGCTTACTTCCTAATCAAGGATATGGTATAACCCATGTGAAATTGTGCACTACAGATTAGTAAGTAAGCACAAGTAAGCCTGTGCATACCTTGCTTATTGGGTCATCCGTCCCTGCCCCTTCCATTGTGCCCTGTTTCTCCCCTTACGGTGCTAGTGCTCCCTGGAGCAAAAGCTGCTCTCCAGAAAGGCTCTGGTATTAATCGTTCATAACTTAGTATAAATTTAAAGTTTGTTGGAGGAGTATTTTCTCCCAGACATATTTCTATTTTAAGTCATATCTAATACTGATAAGAAGGATTCATTCTCCGTTAGAGAACACGAAGATATCAGTAAAGAAGGAGAGGTCCTCTTTTGGGGAGGACTGTTTAAATCCCACCTCAAAGTCCTTACTCGAAGGGCCCCCTACCCATACCAGCTTAACCACTAGTATGCATGTGGCTCTGTGGCCATGTGTTTCCTTTAGATGTTTTTTCACTGAGTAGAAATCAAAGTCCTTTCTGTAAGTACCTAAGAGCATAACAAGTTCTGGGCTTTGAAGACTGTTGCGGTCAGCCCAGGAGGTCAGGGTGGGCAGGTAAGCCCACAAGACACAAACTTAGCACTGCTGCCTGCCTTCTCTCGCAGCTCTCACTATCGTGACACCCTTCGACTCCATCTTCTTTGGCCTGTGTGGCTTTAACAGCACCCTCGCGTGCATCGCAATAGGGGGTATGTTCTACGTCATCACCTGGCAGACCCACCTCCTTGCCATTGCCTGTGGTAGGTACTACAAACACAATTCTCTTTCCACCTCAAATGATGCTTGTATCTATCCCATGAGGATATTCTGTGAAAATTCTGCTAATTCCCCAGAGATACACTAGAAGAATTACTTGCTTTGTAAAGAGATTTTTGTTCAAAAAAATTTTTAATGGTTCCAGTTCCAATTGCTGTCTAGTCGATTCCGACTTATGGCAGCCTCATGTGTGTCAGAGTATAACTATGCTTCATGGGGTCTTCTATAGCTGATTTTTCAGAAGTAGATTGCCAGGCCTTTCTTCTGAGGTACCTGTGGGTGGACTTGAACCTCCAACCTTTCAGTTAGCAGCCAAGCATGTTAACTGTTCGGACCACCTAAGGGCTCCTTTTAATTGTTAACCTAAATCCATTACCTTTGAGTCAATTCCGACTGATGGTAACACGATAGGACGCAGTAGAACCGCCCCATAGAGTTTTCCAGGCTGTAATCTTTACGGAAACAGACTGCCACATCTTTCTCCCACGGAGCGGCTCGTGGCTTCAAACTGCCAACCTTTTGGGTAGCAGCTGAGCGCTTTAACCACAATGCCACCAAGGCTCCTTTTTTAGTGATTACTTAGTGATTAATATGTTAAACCTATTTTCACCAAACATGAAGTGTTCAGTCACATGAAGACAGATTTTGTAGATGGTGGTGACCTTTTTAGATGGCTGTTCTGACCCATGAAACTCTTTCCTGCCCCACACCTCACTTCGTACAATTTATTCTTTAATCTCCTCTCCCCATTCCAACTTGAATGCCTACTTCTAAAACAATGGCAACTTCTCAATTGAAAGACAGAACAGTCTCTGAGCCTCAATTGTCTTATCTGTAGAATGAAGACAACAATAGTGCTTACTTTGCAGGAATGTTGAAAGCCATGATCAAGATTACTACCAGCTGGGCACACAGCAACTCTAATAAAGGTTAGCTGTCATTAATATGAGTCCTTGAGTGACATAAATGGTTAACACTCTCAAAGCAGACAAAAGGTTGGAGGTTCAAGTCCACCCAGAGATACCTCGGACAAAAGACCTTCCCAAAAGTCATCCATTGAAAACTCTATGGAAGCACAGTTCTACTCTGACACACATTGGGTCACCTTGAGTCAGAGTCAACTCAACGGCAACAGGATTTTTTTTTTTTTTTTTGGTCATTAATATCCTCGGGGCAACTGATGTGTCCAGTTGAGAGAGTAAGCGTTCAGATACAAAGCCCAAACATGCTGGCCCATTTTCACAGCACCTCACCTCTCACTGGCACTTGGCTCTTTTCAGAGACCACCTGGCCATGCCCTTCGCCGAGCCTGGAAAATGAGGCAGTAAGCATGTTTGGTGTTCTTAAGCTTCCAGAATGCTGCTCCTCCCTGGAAACCCATATGATGTTAATAACTTGTGCTGAAGTATTCCAGCAGGGAGTTCTGGGATTCAGTTGCCTTTGCTGAATAGTAAAATTTTCATCTATGGTTTATGCTGTTAAATGTTCCTTTACTGGAACGCAAGGTGGTGGGAACCACGAGAACGATAACAGCTAAATTCTGGACCTTTTAACAAAGTTCACCTGCTGTCTTAGCTGTGCCGGCATTTGTGTGGAATTTAACACTTTTCAAAGCCGCCAAGCAATGGAAACATAACTCAAGTTCTTTTTAAAATCTGAGAGATAGCATTTGTGGCGTAAAATTGATGGGGAAAGAATGTGTAGACTAAGCTTAGGGACTGTTAAATAGTTACTGGAATGTTCCTTGTTGGTTCTTTTTCCAGCACTGTTTGCGGCCTACCTGGGTGCTGCCCTGGTTAACATGTTGCCTGTGGTGAGTCACCATGGGCTCAGAGCAAGTCCACAGCACCATCCTGGTGTTCCCTCTGCTTCCCAGAGCCTGCAGCTCACAGCCCCTCCTCCAGAAGCCCCTCCACAGCCCATCCCCCTCCTCTCAGTCACCCCATTCACCTCAGCACCAACCTGACAGAAGGAGCTGGGTCTCAAAGGTTTAAACGTTAACTCTTGGGTCAATCAAATCCCCTTGTCAATGGGCCAGTGGAGATCCTTCTAGAAAGACAATTTGCAGAGCATCATTTTGTAAATCAAAGATTTAAATCACACTTCTTTCTACTGTATCATCCTCCAGAGCTATTTTGAAAACTTTTTTATTTAAGTTTTTTGTATGTTTGTAGATTGTCTGCCCAACTAGTTGTGGGGCACTGCACATCTTTGTCCCAAAGCAACTAGCACAGTGCTGGTCGCTTTGGTGGATATGAGGAATTTAGAGGTGTTCCTCCATCCCCTGTGCAGTACCGATGCTAACTGGGTTGAGAGTTCAGGGCAGGAAGAAAAGGGGGGTCACTAGTGAAGGTTTCAGGGAAGAACGGATGTCAAGCCCCAGCCAAGCCATGAGCTGGCAGCTCATGGGCCCTGGGCAGCAATCCAAGACCCTGGTCTTTCTCTGAGACCCAGTGTAGGGTGGTGTGAGAGGTCAGAGGATGGCCAGCCGCAGCCCCGCTACACATACTGGGAGAAGCCCAGTCCCCAGACACCAGCACAGAGCACTCAGGACTCAGCTGGAGTCAATGTCTCCTGGCTTTGAGTAACGGCACAAGTGCACATCTCACATGGCCAACCAGGAAAAGGCCCAGTGATCCTGCAGTGGGGAGAGGGGTGGGCATTCCACTCACCCCTGCCTAAATCCCACCCCCACCCCTAGTGAAAATGAGTGGTTTGAACCTAGCATAGGAAGGAATTTTCTAAGCAGTAGAACTAGCCTTCCCTGATACTATTCTGTCTCCCCAGATGGACTAAGTCCCTCCCTCCTCTGTGCCCCCATTGCATTTTGTACACACTTCTGCTACAACATTTGACCTACAGAACTGTGATGGGTCAAGTACATATTGGTCTTCTTCCACCTTCAGCCCCTGTGCTCCTTCAGAACAGGGGCCCTGTTGTATCATCTTTATCTTTATCACCTATTTTAGAGCCCAGCACATAGTAGGTGCTCAAGAAATGCCGAATGATTGAAACCTTAAGGTGATGAGCCTCACAACAGGGAATATTAGAGCTGGGGCTGAAGAAGACTCTGAAACGGCTTTGGAAAAACATGTTGAGTGGAATTCATCACTCATGGGTATTCCTTGCAGCAGCAGTTCTGATATCAAACTATCACTGTCCTTCCCCAAGTCCCACCCAACAGCGCCATCTTTGGACACACACATGTCTGGCTGGTATGCTCTGTGAGCCCCAGACCAGTGCTGGAGTACCTCTTTATGATGCTCCTGTTGGGACAGCAGGGAACCATGCTTTGACTAAAATCAGTGTTACCCCAATGGTATTATCTAAGGTTTTTAGTGCTTGCAATAAAATTATTTTGGGGGGAGAAGTGGCATGATTTGATCTACCTCATAGTTAAATTCGCAGGCTCTTTATAGCAAGCTCTCCACTCAAGCTATCTCAAAGGAAGAGTAGGGAGGGATATTAAAAGGTCTCAGGGTATCTCAAGGAAATAAAAAAAACAGTTCAATATCATGAGACAGGAAGCTGGGAATGGGAAAGTACTTGAGAAGACAGGCAGCTACTCTCCACCTGGAGATCCCTGGGACTTGGATGTCCTGTCTTTGCCTCTCTCCATATGTCTGCCCTATTTGCCTATTTCTCTTTGGTGACTTTCCCCTGCTGCGCACAGCCCCAAATGCCATCCAGCCTCGTTCTCCAGACGTTTCAGTTCAAGGACTGTCACACTATTTCTGGACACAGGCTCTGTGCTTCTGTACCTCTTAGTTCAAATTCTCAAGAGAGAGGTTCTACTGGGCAAGGTCATCATCCTATGGGAAATCTGTGTTTGAGTCAGGTGCCTATTTGTACTCCAATCAGCTGTGACCAGAGAGAAAAAGCTCATGGGATACAAAATGGCTGCCAATGTTACTCCTTCAACAGAGCTGATGGGAGAAGATGGGAGAATAGCCATAGTTCCAATATTTGGAAGTATAGCTGGCCAGACACCCCAAGACGTACTTTCTACATAAAGGCATATTATAATAGAGTTCTAATGTGTGCCTTTTGAAGCATGTCTGTTCACCTGTTACAATGCAGGCTGACACCACTGACATGATTTTAGGTAGGTCAACATTAAGTGTTATCCTTAGCAGTGCCCAGGAAGCATCCCCTCCTCTCCAGGGCTACCGGTGATTGGTGAGGGCTAAAGGCACAAGCACAGGCATCTGATGTAATCAAGGCTTCTCTTGTGTTCTCCTCCCCCAGTTTGGATTACCACCCTGCACGTGGCCCTGCTGCCTCTCAGCACTCACCTTCCTGCTGCTGACAACCAACAACCCTGCCATCTACAAGCTTCCACTCAGCAAAGTCACCTACCCGGAGGCCAATTGCATCTACTACCTGTCCCAGGAAAGAAACAGAAGGGCATCCACCATAACCAAGTACCAGGCCTATGATGTCTCCTAAGTTGCCCCTTCCAGAACATGACACTGGAAACTCAGCCTTCTACAGACTGACTGGATCCCCTAGCTAAAGACCACTGAGTCTTCCCTTCTGTCTGTTCTGTGATTCTCCCCCCAAGCAAGCCTACCCTAGTTACTCCCAACCACAGGGAGGTAGTGTATATAATCACCACTCAGGAACCTCTCTGTTCTAAGATGCACAATACTTACTGAGGATATAGTTAGTTTAGACTTTATACCCATAGTACACTCCTTAAGAGCTCACTTTGAGAGGAACTTGCCCTCATCTGCAAAATAAGCCACATCCCCAAAGAGAAGTCACTGAGAAGGGGGCATAGATTGGTGACATGATCATCCAACTCAGTCATTTGATGTAGGGAAGCTCAGTGTTCGGGAATGTGCTAGAAGGCAGGAGTGCTGGTTCTACCCCCAGCTCTGCCTCTAATAGAGTCCTTCCCTGCTCTCAGCCTCCATTTCTCATTGGCTCCATGACAGGGTAGAACTCCACAGTCCCTTCCACCTCAGAAGTGTTGATTCTGCCTCTCCTGCAAACTGATGAAATCAGCATAACCAACAAGTAGTTACTTCGAGTTAAGTAAGAGATGGAAGTGTTACCCAGAGACAAGGTGGGAAATTTTTAATGTTTTATGGAAGTTTATTCCTGGGTCTGTAGATTTGGGGTTAAGATTCCAGACTCACTGAAAATGCCAACGTGCCTTCCTTTACATAACAAATATTTCTGGAAATGTCATGAAATGAAAACTGATCTTTTTCAACATACAAATCATATTTTAAACAAATGTGTTTATTTATACTATTCATGATCATGTTCTTATTAAACTGTAACCTTATGAGTTGGTGTCAGTTTTTTTTTAGATTGGGGATCACCTGTGCTCTCACACATCACCCACCTGAGGGGCTTTCCACAATCAAGCACATGTCTGAAAAGAGATGAGGATGGGCTAAAAATGATTGGAAAAAGGTTTGATTTGTTTAGGGAAAGAATTATTCAGAAATGACCATGGACAGGATTTTATGTTTGAGTTCAAGTGCAGATTATTAATAAGCCATTTCATTTTTTAAGGAATAATCTCTTGGCCTTGTACTCTAAAAATTACAAGTCTTTTTCCTCTTGAATAGCCACTAACTCTTATTATTTGGTCACTCTGCTGATAGAATTGAGCTCCTAAACCACAGGACCCCTATGTGGGAAACCATGTGACTCCAGAGGAGGGAGGTAAACCTATTATAGGGCTACAGTGGGACCTCCCGGTAAAAAAAAAAAAAAAAGTTGCCATCCAGTTGATTCCAACTCATGGCAACCCCATTTATTGCAAAGTAGACTGTGCTCCATAGAGTTTTCAAGGCTGTGACTTTTTGGAAGCAGATCACCACCTTTCTTCCAAGGCACATCTGGGTGTGTTTGAATCACCAACCTTTCCCTTAGTAGTTGAGTGCTTAACTGAAATGGGAAAAGGGGAGGGGGAGGGGGCAGAACCCTCTGTAAATGCCGCTTTAAGGAAAGTATTGCATTTTACCAAAATCCAGCATTTCGAAAAGGCTGGTTTCTACATTTGTCCCTTTCTTTTCTCTGCCCTGAGATCCCTGACCTCCTCTGCCAGCCCAAGAGCACTGGGCTGCGTATTTCTCTTCCAGATCCTGTTTAGCCTAGTGTGACTTCTCTGGAAATATGGAACACTTCTTGCTGGAAACAAATCTTCCTCGTAGAAAAGGAGAACAAGTCACGCTCCAGAAGCTCCCTCAAATAATCATACCTGGAGGCCAAGAAGGTCTCGGGCTGTATTTTATTGGCCATGGAATTATAGCTCTTTGAGGATTAAGCATGCAGGAATTCCACGAGAGGGCTGTTTATGCTTACAGCTCACTCAGCTGCTCCAGAACCTCCAAATGATGACATGGAACTATTAAAGTACCAATTGTCTTGCGTATTCCACTAAAGTGTTATAATGTGGTTTTAAGAGCAGGAAACCCTCCACGTGCTTGTAGCTCTGAGTATTGACCACTAATAAAACGCTTCAGCTGTTCTAAGTATTTCAATATCCTCACCTATCAAGCAAGCTGAGCTGGCCCAGGATTCCAAGCAAGATGGAAATAGATGGGGTAAAAGAATTAGACCTATGAAAATGTACCATGTCTATAGGATACACCAAAGTGGACAATCAAGTCCAGCACTTCAATTAAGCATCAAGCAGTGGAGTGCTGGAGCCAGGTCTCACCAGCTCCTGAGAGCCAACTGGGTGACTGAGCACATTTCTCCCAACTCCAAGTTCAGTGGCATCACACTGATAGCTTGAAATAAGCCATGGTGGGAGTATTTACACTACAGGAATCAGCAAACTCTAATATGTCCTCCTCCAGTTGGCTTACCAGCATACCACTGGTAAATTAGTTTGATGGGAAGAAAGAGGCAAACATTTGTAGGGCTCCTGACCAAAGACTCAGAGACTGGGGCCCAAATATTCAATTCAGTAATGCTATGCAAATGTCGTTCCACATACAAATGGAAGATATCCTCAGACTCTGCTCAGCCTTGTCAGAGCCACTGGTTGCCAATGTCAGAGACGCAAGAATTGGGGCAGCTGCAGTCTGCTAAGCCCCTTAGTGCTCTGCTCTGTCCCCACTAGCATGTAAGAACTCAGGCCACACTATGGCCAAATTATGAAAAAAAAAAAAAAATGCTCTGCACTTTGTCTCCAAATTGCATGAACACTTTAATTCCGACAATAACAGTAGTAATGAACATATTATGTACTAGTTTCTGCTTTTAGGACGTTTTAGAATCTCCAATGAAATATGGAAATAAGGGGGAAACTTTTGCTGTTATTTCTCTCCCTCCTCACCAGAGCAGAGCATCACCTGCTCTAAGAAAATTTCCTCAACATGATGTCCCCAGAGGCCTCCTGTTCTCTCAGCTCCCTAAAGCCATTACCATGGAGCAGACTGCATGCTTGTTTTCTGTTTTGATTATGTGGGCCTTATGCCTCCAATTAGATTGTAAGCCCTGGGAGGCTAAAGATTGTGCTATACACACCCATGTGATACATATACACACACTCATACATATATAACACATACGAACACCTATGCATATATACACAGGAGTATGTACACATGGGTATATACAAGCATATAGACATACACATGCATGTACACACTTATACATGCATACACACTTCCTTCTGTATATAGCCATACGTTTTGTTATTTGTCTCTTCGTAGAACTAGCTCATTGATGGGTACGTATTAGCCTGAAGAAATATTTGATTAATTGACTGAGACACCCTCCCATCCCCACCCTCTCTCCCTCTGAGTTCACTCACTCTTACAAGCTGGAATTTAAAATATTTCACACTCACAAGCACATACACAAAGTTTTTGGAACCCTGTCTTAGTCATCTAGTGCTGCTATAACAGAAATACCACAGGTGGATAGCTTTAACAAACAGAAATTTATTTCCTCACAGTTTAAGAGGCTAGAAGTCCAAATTCCAAGTGCCGGCTCCAGGGGAAGGCTTTTTATCTTTGCAACTCTGGAGGAAGGTCCTTGTCTCTTCTCAACTTCTGCTCCTGGCAATCTTCGTGCGCCTTGGCATCTCTCTTCCCTCATCTCTGCTTCCTAGCTTGCTTGTTTTATTTCTTCTATATCTCAAAAGAGATTGACTTAAACACACCCTACACTAATTCTGTCCATTAACATAAATAAGACAACTGATTCCCAAATGGGATTATAATGACAGGGATAGAAGTTAGGATTTACAACACATGTTTTAGGGCGACACAATTCAATCCATAACAGAGCCCCAACCCCTAAGAATTTGAAATATTTCACACTCACAACCAGGTACACATAACAGGCACAGAATCTCAGGAGGGCCAGTTGATTGACTCTTGGTCTCTGTCATGGATTGAATTGTGTTCCCCAAAAATATCTGTCAACTTGCCTGGGTCATGATTCCCAGTATTGTATGATTGTGTAGCATTTTGTAATCTGATATGATTTCCTCATATGTCGTAAACTCTATCACTATGATGTAATAAGATGGATTAGCAGCAGCTATGCTGATGAGGTCTACAAGATTAGATAGTGTCTTAAGCCAATCTCTTTTGAGATATAAAAGAGAGAAGCAAGCAGAGACACATGGGACCCTCATACCACCAAGAAAGCAGTGCCGGGAGCAGAGCACGTCCTTTGGACCTGAGGTTCCTGCACAGAGAAGCTCCCAGACTAAGGGAAGATGGATGACACGGACCTTCCGCCAGAGCCAACAGAAAAAGTGTTCCTCTGGAGCTGATGCCCTGAATTTGGACTTGTAGCCTACTGGACTGTGAGAGAATAAACTTCTCTTTGTTAAACCCATCCACTTGTGGTATTTCTGTTACAGCAGCACTAGATGACTAAGACAGTCTCCAAATTTACTGCCAGTGGCCTCCTCCCAACATATGTGAATCATGTTTAAGGAAAAAGCACTTCAGAATGGTACACACCACCTAACCCTAAGCATATGATCGGCTTTATGGGTTATAACTTCAAGCCCCTGCAAACAGTCCTTTGCAATCATCCTTCCCTTCCAGAGCCTCCAGTTTGGGCTCAGGTGTGGCAGGTGAATGGTAGATCATTGATTCTCAAACTTGAGGGTACATCAGAATCACCTAGAGAGCTTGTTAAAACAGATTGCTGGGCCCCAACCCCAGAGTTTCTGATTCAATACGTTGGGGCGGGGCCTAAGAATATGCATTTCTAACAGGTTCCCAGGTAATGGTTCTGCTGGTCCAGCGACCACACTTTGAGAAGCACTGGTGGAGACTTAGAAATAGGTATGCCACCTCCAGTCATCCCTGTCTCCTTCGTTGCGTGTTGCCATGCACCAGTTCGAAAACTCTTGTGTTAATATGAATCAACTGGTGGACTTATTAAAACACAGATCCCTGGGCACCCACCCCAAAGGTGTTGACTCAGTAGATCTGGGGTGGAGACAAGAATCT